TTCTGTGATAATTTTTGATTCCAAGTGTGCTAAACATTTCTGCTTATCATATAAAACCTGTACACTTAGGTCTTTGAAAAATCATGCACAGCATCATATTGTCTTGGCATTAGTCATCTCTAAAAGGAGAACCCACACTTCTTTCCAAGAACTGTACGTTTTTTGAGTCTTTTTACACAAAAATCTTAATTCTGGACCTACCCAGTGCACCAATAACCCTGCAACAATAAGCTTGACTTGCCAGCTTATTGGTTTGCCAGCATACCAGATGCCAGGTTAACAGAATTTCACTGTATATACATTATTATATTTTTAATTTCATATCAGAAATTGAATAAATTACAAAACAATTTTTTTGTAAAAAACAAAAGATAATTATTTTTAATGTTTTTACTTTTATTGATTCCTTTATATCTTTAGAAATGATAATTATTATTAGAATATTAAATAAATTGATTTAAAAACAATTGCTTCTGGGGCTGCAGAGTCAGTAAAAAAACACTCAACTCCAACTCCTGATAATTTTAGTAGGCTGACTTCAACTCCGGCAAAATTAAATACCAAGTCATTTTATGTGAGCAGAGGCACTCATAGGGGAGTATCTTACTCTGAACTCTGAAAGAAGCCTGGGCATTTACCCAAATACTTTTATAGTTAGTATTTTTAATATTTAACTTACATTAATATTTATTTGTATTAAAAAAATTAATTCTTAATGAATATTTAATAAGAGGAGAAAGGGGCAATAAAATTCTGCATCTACATATATTCAACAACATTTGCACTTTAATTTTGCCCTTCCAGAAGAGTTAATCCAACTAAAAAGCATGCAATCTAACTAGCTACGTCAGTCCCTTGTTCAGAAAAGAAAAATATGTACTCTGATCAGTTAGTTTGACTCATTCGGAAAAATAGAGTACTTGTTTAGAGCAGAGATAATAAAGGAATGATTCAAAAATATTCAAATTCAATTGGGTCAAAATAATTTAACTACTAAACACAAATACTACAAAGAATACTACATATTTAATAAATTAAATTAATGCATTTTGTATTTAAAATAAATGAATTATAAAAAATGTAATGTAAAAATGATTAATCCGTTCTCATGTAAAAAATGGCTGGCTTTAAACACCTCGCTTTCCTGGCTAGTTCCTACTTGATTTTTCATGAGATCAGCATGTATCTTTTTAGCTTTCTCGCAAATAATTGCTTCTGATACGCTGTCGCCAGCACCCTGTTTTTTTAGTTATCCAAAGCAAAAGTAATTTCTCAACATGATCTAATATCTTCAATATCTGCTTAGAAATTGATTTAACCCTTTCGCAATGTTAGCAGATTTAATAATGTCTTTATTTTTCACGACTGTCAATATCGTCGTTCTCGGAATACGGTATACAACAGTTAAATCTTGAACACGCATGCAACCTTCATATTTCTCAACAATTTCTTTTTTCAGTTCCATTGTGATTCTAGTAAATTTTTTTAGTTTTCTGTTGCTTTTTATTTGCCTTTTTGAAATTCATGATTAATAAAAATAATAAAATTTTACTTACAAATTAAAATCAGAAGAAATTTAACAAAGTTATAAACCGTGGCACAGCGAACGTCTAGTCTGGTATAGTACACCGTTAGTGCTACTTGTTCATAGATGGCGCATATAATTGAATTAAGTCGTATACTGAGCAAAATTTGTTTCATCCAAACAGGACATATTCCGAATTGGACGTATTCTAAAGCAGACGTATACCGAGGTACCACTGTATTTTTATTTTATATTTTTTTTGGGTCGCGAAAAAAATCACAATCATAAATGGGGTCGTGAATAAAAAAAAAGTTTAAGAAGTCCTGATGTATATGATTCTTTTCTGTTTAAGTAACAAAATTCATAAATTTTGTTTTATTAACCTTTTGAAGAATTATTTCAGGTAAATTTTTTTTCCTGTGTAGTTATATTGTTGTAAAAATATTTATGGTAAATTTGAGCTCTTAACTTTTTTTGTTTTGAAAATAAGTATTATTTAGTATTTTTCATTTATGTGACCTTAGAGTCAGCACTTCTTTGATGCCATGTCAGAATGACACCACTGGACACAGAAGCCACAAGGATGATTTATTTTTGTTCAGATTCTTTACGTGAGCAGTCGTGTGTGGGTGGTCAGATTCAGAGTGGAGGAGTGTGAGACAGCATGTTGAAGCAAGACACTCAGATACTAGGTTAACAAACAAATAACCCATTTATTTTATGTTAAATGATCTACATACTATCAGTAGCAAACAAATAGATATTAAACACTACAGCGACATCAAAGCATTTACATGAAATCACGCATTGTTATAAATACCTGGAGATAGAAGAGCTGTTATAGAGGAGATCGTTCTGATCCTTTTTGAGAAGGGTTGACCCTCAAGAATTCAGCATTATGGGACATTTTGTTGTGGAGTTGATGATATTCCTCTATAGGAGGAGATAATGATTAGACTATCATGTTGGAGAAGCAGGTGGTGATTTTAACTATTGGAGAACTGGCGACAACTCATTGATTCCTGAAGGAATTGGTGACGACTGACCAAACGGGCCTCTATTTGTCATATTAAAACAGCAGAATACAGCCAGGAGGACAGATCATTGCGGGAAAGCATCTCTGTTGGTGCTGAGAACACAAAAGATGAGACACTCTTGGGTAGAACAGTTGACAATTATTGTTGTCAACAATATCGTATTGATTAATTTTCCCTCTTTTGTTGATTAACTTTCATTTACATTCAAATCTGTTTTCATAATTTATAATTTGTAATATATAATTGAGATGCCCAGTATTAAAAAAAATCAACTTTTGTGAAGATACAGTAATATCATTTTAAATGAATTAGGCCATTGTTTCTAATTTATATTCATAGAAAATCTGTGGCTTATTTTTTCTAAGATTATGAAATTCTTTATTTTTCTGTGTTGATTTTTCAAGAAAAATTGTTTGCTCATAATTATTTTGATTTTGAAGACTACTTTGGAAGACCCAGGATTAAATTCAGGCAGTCAAAACACCCCATAAATTTTTGGGGATGGTCTGTCCCAGATAAGTTGGGCTTCATCCTTCATCATTCAACTGACTGCATTGTGGACCTGACAAAAGTCATGTTGGGTATGATGAAAATGTCCTGTTAGTGCCCACAGGGCAGTAAAAGTCAAAAGTGAAAAAAAATTACACGTTACTGTGTGTGTTAAATATTTTACATTGAGATGGCCTTAATCTCAAAAAACGTTTATCTTAGGGTTGTATCCACATATTCACTTTTTGCCAAAATCCAAGCAAACATTGCCAAAATCCAAGCAAACATTCAGCAAATATCTAATAGTGTGGATGGTTTACCTGTGAAGAATATTTGGCATTCACCGTTTCTCAAATCTTGTCAGTAAATTGTGCCAAATCACCTCCATGCATTTGTGTTGTTCATCCACATTACTTGGCATTCATCAAATAGCAGATGTTTGGATTTAGTCATTAGTGTTTTTATTTGTCTTTTTTACTTTCCTGGTTGTTATACATAAGAGGGAAAGTATGGTGATCGGTCAAAAATTGACCCCTCCCAAGATTTTTACATTTTTGGGCTCAGGACATTTTGAAACGTCAAGAAATGCAAAAAAAGGCAAGGGTTTTTTTTTTCTTTGAGTATAGATGTTAGCGTGCATATAAGGGGGCATGATTTTGTTCTCCTTCTTTGAAGCTTAATAATGTCTGTGCTTTTTGTTGGAAATTTCTTGAAATTTTGCAGGGAGGTTTGTTTATTAGGGGATCGATGCTATTAAATTTTGGTGATTAAAGGTCAATAAAGGGTGTGTATCTTCAGTAGGATTAGACTTAATGATAATTTTACTCGTTATTAGCATTTACAATTTTTTATAAAACCCATCCTTACCTTCGGAATTAAGCGTTTTGCCATTTTATAATAGTTAAAAATATTTTATTTTAAAAACTTTTTATATAACAGATGGTGCCACCAAATGTTGCCAGGAAAGTTAAGCATCTCATTGGTGGATTTTGTAAACTAGATCTAGTCTTTTATTTTTTAATTTAGTTTAAACTATAAATCCATATGTAGGTAAAAGGATAAAATGTATTGCAAATAGTGCTTTCACTTAACACAGATTGCATACTGATGTTGCACAAAAATCAGAATCAGAATGTAAACAAGTAAATAAAAGTAACTTTTGTAACAACATTGTATAAATACCAAATGTTGCTGAATTACATCAGACTATATTAATACTACTATTAATAATTAAATGTTAAGAATGCATTTAATTATTAATAGTAGAATTAATACGGCCCGATAGAATCTGGTAATTGCTTGGTGTTAGTATTAAAATATCAGGTTAAGTACTGTTTATATTTGTAAAATTCTATAAATACAACAAAAATTATATAAAGTGAATAAGTAAATATAACTATTATATAATATAAATATAACATTTAACAATTTAAAAATATAACGTATGAAATTTCTTATATTAAATGATAGTTCAGTAAATAAAAAGAAAAATTCTCAACATTATCATATGAGAAAGACATAATTTCTCATATGATGCTATTGAGTTTAATTCACATTTCTTTGTGCTATTACTTTTTTTAATTAATGACCCATTTTTAATTAAACTAAATTTAAACTTATACCTTTATGCTAAACTATATTTTAATTTAATATTTTGGTATTTTAGCATTTGCAAATGAAAGAAAAAACATTTAAAAGTTTAGTTTAGTTTAATTTATAATAGTTTTTGCATGCTTTTACTTTTCTCTATATTTGCCGATTATTTTTAAGTAGGCAAATACAGGTGTTAATTAAATAATATCTTCAAAACAAATATACAAAAAACAACACAGATTAAAACAGTTTTAAGAAATCAAAATATTTGTTTATATTTAATTTACTATTAAAAAACAATAAAAATTATTATTTCGATTAAATATTCATGAAAATTTTTATTCTTTATTAATTAGCAATGGACGATCTGGTGGTAGAGAAGATCAGCCATGTCTTCAAGGTAGATATACACCACCTCCTGCTGTAAGTAATTACATTTTCTTTCAGTATTTTAATAGATTATTAAAATAATATAGTATTTTTTATTAGTTGTATATATGTTACATGTTAGGTTCAATGTTGCATGCTTCACTAATCTCTATATGCAAGTTGATTGTGTGTGTATGTGTGTGCATTTTTTGTTTAAATCTTTTATAATCAGAAGCACTTTTTCACCTGATTTATTTATCATTATTTAACAAATTGTATTCTTTTTTATAGCATGGTATGTAAATTATATATCACACACATCATATTTAAATGAATATTATTATCTCAAAATATGGGAGCTTCTGCAGAATGCATTTATTTTTAATCAAAAATGTATTGTTATTTTGTTAATTTGAATACTGTAATAAATAGTTTACGTTATATATTGAAGAAGAAATAAGAAATGTATAAAGATACGACTTAAAAATGGAAACGGAATCAGAATTAACAATGAAAACAGAAAAGAAATCAGTTCTGTTCCCACTTGTTGTGTAGAAAGTGTAAATAACAAGACTCATAGAAAGTGCACAACAATGCTTGGGGTATGTTATTCTCCTGAAAACTTTGAGAAATGTACTTAATTTCATTTGAATATCCTATTTTTAAATAAGGCACATGTTTGTAGAAAAGTAGCATTCAATTAATGTATTGTGTGGAAAATAAACTACTGAAAAGGTCATTAAAACTCAATTGAATGCACTCTCAAATAAATCTTTTTGATGCTATTCAACTAGAAAAACTTATGTTTTCAATCATTTTTACTGATCTTTATCAGGTATGTTGCAAAAATTAAATTTATAAGTATTAATGGATATAAAACATAAATAACTGAATGTCAATGTGTTTACATGTATAAATAAATTTTACAATCTGCTACATTACTAGGATATGTACAAAAACAAATAAATAGTAACGAAAAATATTACATTATCATAGTAATCTAATGAATGTAAATATGAATATAATTCAATGTCATCTATTATATTGATCCTATATCAATTATTATCTTGGCATAATCATATCCTAGTGAATTTTTAACAGTACAGTGGTACCTCAGGATACGAACGCCCCAGCATACGAAATTTTCAGGATACGACATGAAATTCGAACATATTTTTGCTTCACGATACGAACAAAAACTCACCATACGACGTTACATTAGTTCGCATTTTTCATTTGTTTTCCTTACTACAGTTATTTTTTTAAATGTATTACTTGGCTTTAATTTGAGTATGTTTTTCGCGTTGGAACGAATTATTTGGTTTTACATGTAATCGTATGGGAAAAGTTGATTCACCTTACGACATTTTCATGATACGATCTCAGTTTCGGAACGGATTAATTTCGTATCCTGAGGTACCACTGTACATTAAAAAAAATACATTAGGAATACTGTATAATGTAATCATTTTCCTAATCAGGAGTTGCAGAAATTATAATTTTGCAAGCCATGCAGAACAAAATTTTAGATGTATAATGAAATACAAACTATTATAATATGGACTCATACTAAAACCTTTTACTTAGCAGCTTTCAAAATCTTCAGCATTAATTAAATCTCACTAAATTAAAAATGTGGATTTAAAATATCAACAATAATGATGGAAGCAAAAACTATTTATAGACTAGAAAGTTATGATAAAACAATATTACTGTTGTAAATTGGAATGAAAGATAAGATTAACAAATCAAAATCATTTGATTTTAGTTAAAGTTCAAAGAATAGAAGCTAAGATTCATTTTTATTGGGCTGCAATTTGAAAAATTGTAGACCTATAAATTCCCACTATTGTTCATCTGTCTGTATTTCCTTAATCTTGAGAACGGTGTTAGATAGATGAAATTCAAGACCAGATATGGAATGCTTAGGAGCAGGAGGCTCCTATATCTATATAACTGTATACGAACTTCTTATGCAAACTGGCAGTCATGTTATTTCAATTAAAAAATTTTCCTCTGAAAGAAGTTAGATAGATGACCGGTACAACTCCATTGCTAACAGAAAAGTATGATGTACAGGAACAAGACACTACAGTACTAATTTGAGGTGGAGAGCATATACTTTAAATTAAATAAATTGAACATATGATTAAAAATTGCAGCCTGACATTGTGACGATGTCATAATAAATAATTCGTCGTTAATTTTTTTTTTTTTTTTTGTATAATCCGGAGAGATCTTGCCTAACATAAAACTTTAAAATAGAGCTTTATTCTAATCATTCTAATCAATATTTAATTCTAATCATTTGAGATATATTTAGCCACTTATAGCTTCATGTTTTTGTGTTACTTCAGCTCTTTCAAATTCAGAAAGATGAATTTATTTTTTATAATATAAATTAAGGAATCATTATATAAAAAGAAATTTTACATATAGCAAATATTTAATATTTAATCCATTTCTCAGTAAAATTAATTCTAAATCCTCAAAAAAATGAAAAGAAGTTCTCAAAAGAATGATGCTGTTTATATACCTTCCAACAACAAGAAGTCCATCTCCAAATAACTTATGTAAAATATTAAAATATCCACTAGAAAAGTGAAAATTATTTAAAAATTAGTATAGAAAATTCTTGTTTTACATAAGATTAGTATAAGGAAATTCATTTCTGTTTTTACAGATAGTAAATAGTTAGGTTAAATCATTCTTAGTTCCACTGAATCTGACTCTTAAGTCAGAAAGTATATTTCTCTAGCTCCTAAAATTCTGAACAAAGGAAACTACTGAATGCTACTCACTATGTATATATTTTTCTCAAGTAATATATCTAATACAGTATAACAACATTTTAGGATCATGAATAATGGGCCTCCTGAGATCTTGGAATGCCCTGTGCTTGGTTCCGGGACCCTTTGTGCCACCATGAAGAGTCATGGAATCAAGAGAGGCCTGAGATTTTCTGGGATTTCCTGTATATTACATAAGCAGATCAGAAACCTTGATGAAACTAATATTCAATCTGGGATCAACTAAAAGGAATTGAAGGAAATTTTAGTGAAGTCCAGTGGTCCCAGGTTTAATTGTAGAATTCTGAAAATTAACTAGACTGATAAAAACTTGCTATCTGTAGTATCTACTGATAAATTACCCCACATAAAACAAGACAAAAACTGTATTTATTTAGCATATAAAGAAGTCTGCATATAGTTTTTATTTATTTAAAAAATTACTTTGTAGACATTCTAAAATTCTCTATTTACCAGAAAATATTTTAGTGATTTATGTATTTAAAAGTAGCTGAGTAGCTTCTGATAACTTAATGTATTCCCTGATTGAAGAACAAAATTTTAATATCTCTTTTTTGTTAATCTTCTTCATCTTTTTTCAAGAAGATAACTATAATAATATGAATATTATGAAATAATTGTAAATAAATTCAAATTGGTCAATAAATTTAAATATATTAAACATTAATTATTAAATGTAAAATCTACAATGTAATAGATTTGAAAATTATAGTAAAAATACACTGTAATATTTACAAGTTTATACATTTTTACACATCATTGTTTTTACAAGGAATTTTGAGTTTGCATGTCACAGCTGCAAGTTATTGTTATAATTTTATTAATAAGATTTATGTGCATGTAAGCATTATATTGTGTTTCTCTAATGTGCAGTTTTATTATGTTTTGGAATGCATTTATAGTTTTCCAACTTTTATTAGTTCAAGGTACAACCTTGGCAGCCATATTGACCTAGTGAAACGTCATTTTTCCTGATCCGTTTTTAAGGTATTGTCGTATTAATAATTCCGTTACTAATATTGTCTTTTGCACGTACTTGTAGAATTAACTTTGTTAATTTGTAACGTTTTTTAGTTTACTAATTTTGTGCACTTATATTTGTTAAGTTCATTATTTAGCATGTTTTAATTTCTGTTTGCATGCATTAGTTTTTAGATTTATAAATAACATCAACTAATTAATTTAACCTTATGAATTAATACTGATATTGTCTTATATATAGTCTATTCTCCTCTGCACAAAATATTCAAAAAAAATGCTAAAATTTGCTTCTATTTATCAATGTTATTGTTGATAATTACTATATAAAGTATAAGATATTAACTTTGTGTAGTGAATGTGACATTTAGACTATAAGACCAGTTACAATTACATTTGTTTTAGTAGTTTGCTGACCCAGTGATGTCCAGCATAGATAAGAGATGAGAAATGATGCCCTAATTCATACTACCCACAATAAGTGATAGAGATCTGGATCATATTCAAATCCCCTTTGCAGTAGTCAGATTCCTTATCAAACAACCATGTGACTGATGATATTAATATTTTTCAGTTGAGTTATAGCAGTTATTAAAAAAAAAGTAACTTAGACAGTTTATATATAAACTTTTTCAACTCTTATTAGTTCAAAGAACAATATATTATAGAATCTGGGTCAATCTCTGGCTTAAGCAAATTGTGCATTTGCAAAAGAACTTTAAGCAAAAGTGTGCAATTTGGAGCATTGACATTCTGTCTGGTGAGCAAAACAAAATAAAAAGCAAGAAAAAATGTTTGGAAAGCCCAGAAGAGGTATAAAAAATATTTTGTTTAATGCACTGTTACAGTGATGTCAGTGCATACAACAAGCCATATGCCAGTAGAAAATAAAGACACAGTGATTGAAGTTGATGGTCCAAGAGGGGAGCATCATTTTAATTTCTGGCACAAAGGCATTTTAGCTCTTAATCTGGCCTTGCATAGACTACATATAAGATTGTGGATTATATTTTAAAATTATATAAATAATAATGCTTCTTTATTTTCTCATAATTACTAATTTATAAAGAATTTTTTTGTAATATAGCTTTTAAAATTGAAATCTTTCTAATTAAATTAATATTATAACTATAAAATGTTCTAAATTAAATTTAATTAGAAATTTATCTGTTTCATCCTTGAATATTTTTGATAATGAAGTGAAAATATAATCATAAAAATATTACTTTTCTTATGTTAATATTTCATAAGCCATAAAATCAAAATCATTTAATCTCTCAAATCCAAGCGAATGTAATTTTGAAATGTAACTAAAGTATAGGATGAAATCATGTGTTTAGCAATCTATTGTGAATTTTATGCTTTTTTAAAGAATAATAACAAAGATGCAATGATTTAATAATATAACAACATCAAATATTTTTCATTCTAAAGCTCTCCACACTCAATACTCATCAAACATTGAGAAAACATTTGTCCAATACCAAGTAGTGTGGCTGATTTATTTGTGACATCACTAGATAAATATTCTGTATATGTTGTTTCCCATTCCTTATTGGTATATTATGCTGAATCAAAGGGAATGAATTTCAGACAAATATTTGTAATTCCCAGAACAAACTGATGCTTGGCAAGTAATTGTGTGTGTACAGTACATGCTCACCACATAACAAACAATTTGGCAAAAGGCAATTATTCACTAATTGGTAAATACAGAATGTTTGGAGCCACCTTAATACAAATTCCAAACATTAATCCTGAAAATAATTTATGTAATCAAATAGCATTTGAATTTTAAGTGTATTTAAATAATTTTAAACAGAACATCTGATTCAAACTATTATTCTTCCTGTAAACATTTTAGAAAATTCAAACACTTCTGGACTGTATACTTATTATCAGGAGGTAGCAAGTGAAATAAAGATAAAGAGAATCAAGATTCTCTATTTCATTATGACCTCTGAATACAAATAAAAATTAAATTAGTTTGCTAAATAGCAAACTGGTAGGCATCTATTACTTTCTTTTGATGTTTCTTTTATTGACTCCAGATAAGTTTGCCAACTCTCCTGGACTCACCGGGAGACACTCAGACTTCTAAATTGAGGCCTATTCTTCCATTGTTTACTCAAGAAGATGATTAACTTTTTTTGGGTTATATATTAAAAGAGACTAAAGAATAGGAGACAGCATTTTGATACTGCAAAAAAAAAAAATATCAAATTTTTGAAAGTTTGAAAGTTTAAAAATTTTGTAGATGCTTGAGATACAAATAAAATTATTACTAGGAGATGCATTTCTCTGCAGAGGATTTTAGTAGTAGAATTTATATGGAGAGAGAGAATTTGAAAGTTTTTCCCCATAAAAATAAATGAGCAAGTCATAAAATAATGAAATGAAAAATTGAAATTTCATTTTAATTTGTAATGTTAAGAGTAAATTTCATATATTTTGTTACTTGATAATTCAATAGAAACTTTATGAAAATATTTATCTATTAATTAATTTATCAGTAAAACAAATAAAAGATTATTTTCTTTTACTTGAATTTTTGAAAATATATTCTAAAAGGAAAGATTTGAAACAATATTCTATGTGTAGAAAATGTATATATGAAAATGTATATATCTTTAACCAGTCATCAAGTTTAATTTTGAGTGACCATTTTAGTTAAAATTAAAATATCAATATGAGTTATTGTAAGAACAGAAATGCTTTCAAACTATAGAGAGAACAAGGAAAGATATGTAAATACACAATATAAATAAAAAATAATAGCATAAATGTTAAGAGAAATTTTGACTGATGGAAATGAGATGTCAAATGATTAAAAAAAAAGAAAAAAATTAGATGTTTTAATTATAAAAGACACAACTTTTTAAAAATTCAAGCTTTAAGAGAATTGGAAGTGATCATTGCACTACCAATGAATAGAACAATAAATTGCTATAAATAATGGCATCAAAATCCTTTCAAAGAATTCAGGAGAATGCCTTAAAGAACTGCAAAACGTTGCAAAAAACATTTAGTATGAAAATCCTATTTCATGAATATGCAATAAACATATTGTATATATAAATAATTAAAAAATTACATTGTTTAGGTAATTATATTAATAATAGCAACATTCAAAGTACCTATGCTTTTGGAAAGATTTTGATGCAAACAAAAATATATATCTTATTTGTGAGAAAAGTAAACTTTGGTAATTAGCATAGCCTCCTTCAAAACTTTACTATTTTTCTGTACTACGTATGAACTTTTGGGGGATTTTAATGCTCAACGTTTGTGTACGAAGGGGATAGTAAAAAATAAACCAAACTTTTAATGTAACTTTTACTACTGTAATCATATCAGTATTTACAGTAGTTCGTCTTCAGAATAAGTGTCATTTACAACAGAAGTGTATAGCTGCAACCATACCATTTGTCAAAGTTGTACTGGAAGCAATTTTTTTGTGATATCTTTAATGGTGCATCTTCCACTCTGTTTTTATGGAATCTGCATCTATTCAACTTTTTCATATTAGGGAATAGATAAAAGTCTACTTGACAAAATTAAGGGAGTAAGGAGATTGAGAAAGCATTGTTATGCTCTTCTTGCTTAAATATTCTCCGACCAAGAACAGCCCTTAAAAATGTCACAAAAATGGCTTCCAGTGCTGCATGAACAAAAATAGTATGGATACTAACAGAAGTGTACAGCTGCAATTGATGCTTATTACTTCCCTGGCTGTTGTATATAACAAAGGGAAAGTATGGTGATGGGTCAAAAAATGATCCCCGGAAGATTTCTACATTTATGGGCTTTGGACATCTCGAAACGTCGAGAAATTTAGGGGTAATTTCTCTATGTATGGATCAATATGTATGGATGTTAATGTGCTCCCACGTACACTAACATCCATACATATTGTTCTCTTTATAGTTTGAAAGCATTTCTGTTACAGTAACGATTTTGTTCACCCTCTTTGAAGCTTAACTCTCGTCGCTTTTTTCAAAAATTTCTGAAATTTTGCAGGAAGGTTTAGGGGTATCAATGCTATTAAATCTTGGTGGTTAAAGGATGTCGAGGGGAGGGGTGATGAGGGTTACGTGTCATAACACTAACAATTCTTTTATAAAACCCATCCCTACCCCGAAAATTAACCTTTTTTCCATTTATAATACTTAATAATATAAAAAGTTTTTAAAATAAAATGACAGATGGCACCACCAAATGTTGCCAGGAAAATTAAGCAACTCGTTGCCGTTTTTTTTTTAAATATGATCCTATTGTAAATACTTATAATTTATTATATTCATAGTAGATTAAAAGCCTGATTATTTTTCTACTATGTTTATATATGCGTCTCACAAGAAATATAAAATTAAATCATTGCTATCATATTTTTAAAATGACTGATTACAAAAGCATAAGTTTAACTTCTTTAATAGATGCATTGATTAAAATGTAAAAATTCATTCCAAACAGAATGAAATGTTCAAGTTTAAGTTGTTTAAAAGAAAAATATTCTCTCAAAAATCTTAATCAAAGATATTCAATGGATAATTTCTAGTTATGATTTATTTTACAGGTATATGGCATTTCCCAACCAATAAGTGGCAGGCTCCAAATTATTGCATTAAAGCAGTTGGTCTTTCAAAAAGGGTTGAGATATGCCAGCTTATAAAATTTATTGTTTAAATCGGCGACCGATCTAAGACATTCGAGACGTTCTTTAATGGTCACTATTCAAATTCAAGAATAAAAAATACATTTTGGTGTAGAATTGTACGAATGGCTTGAAGTCAAAGATCTGTCTCTGATTAATTTTAAGAATTTATTAGAATAACTTTAATATTTCCTTTATGCACATATGTTTAACTAACCGTAGATATGAATAAAAGATATTAAATAGAAAAAAAATATATATATATTTAAATCCAAAATCAAAAACTGCCAATCGAGCAAATAAACGACTTTCTTCTTTTACTTACCGCACTATTTATTTATTTTATTTTACGTGCATGTCTTTTGCATTATCAAATTATTTTTTACGTATTTAATTTATTAAATAACGTTGATTATTCCGGCCAGAACAGCATGTATAACTGTAGATATGTGTTTAAAAAAATTTAGCCAGATTGCAAAGTATGCACCTTTATTTCTAATGCACGTGAACCACACCTGCATGTTTAAGTAAAGTTTTCGATAATAGAACTGACTCCCTAAACCTGCATGTTATTTGCTGACCCCCATTTTCATGTCTGCTAGTATGAACAACTGTAACAGACAGCAGGCAGCTAATGACCGGTGACGACTACCAACAAGATCCTGACTCCTCCCTTCTTCTTCAGACCGATGGGGACCTTACGTGTGCCACCAAGTTCTGACCTAACTGGTTGTACGGAGCATCCCAGCAGAGCAGACCGAAAATTCCTCGTCCTTACACAATTGGACATTACACTTACTAAACGACGACGTCGTCAGAAGACATCTTCGAGAGGTTCTCTCTTATTGGATTCATTTCTATTATTATTATTATTATCACTATTATTATTATTGTCGTGTGCTCTCCTTAACAGCAGCTACCATTGGACAAGAAGTGTGATTCGTTTTGGTTTTGTCCCGTCGACATCTTGGAAAACAAAAAGTTTAGAATTTGGTTTTTTATGACTTTTTTCGAGGTTTCATCAGGATTTTAAAACTTTACAAGTGAAAATAGCCATGTAAATTTTGTATTTGTACTCTGTGATGATGAATTTTTGGGGATACAGCAAATGGACAATTGCAAATCGATTGAATCCTTTCGAGGTAACGCATGGTTTCCCTCTTATTTTATTATTATTTTTTAATTTTTATCGTTACACGTATTCTGTGCTCAATGTAAATATTTGATGTCGACTTTGTATTCCCAAATATATTTGTAGTTTTGGAAATTTTTAAAGAAAAAAAAAACAAGAAAAAAAACATTCATCTTTCTCATAGGTTGGTAATTATATTAACCAATTTTTCCTCCAATATTGTAAAGTGCAATGTTTCGTACTATTATATATGTATATTATCAAACACGAGACCAAAATTAGCATTGTTGTTATGATTCATAAACAAGAAAAGAAAAAAAAAAACCCCACTAAATTTTATTAAATAACGCTCCATTTCTCGGGAATGGGAACCTTTAAATTATAGCAGCAATCGCCAATTTTAAAACTTGTATATACAGTGCATAAACATATACATATATACACACACACAAATATATATAAAATATATTATATATCTATATATGATTATGTAAATTTAGCTTATGAAAAAAAGGGGAAAAAATAATTTGTTTTGCTACCCAATAGGTTTTTCAATGTGAAAATTACCAAGCTTTGTGTCACGTAATTTCAAAATATAGAATTGTTGCATCAAAGGAAACAAAAGTTTAAATACCTCATGCTAAACAAAATATTGAAGTGTGTTAACGAGAATTTTAGTACCAAAAGAAACCGTGTTTATCTTTTTAAAATCTATTTAATTATAGTGTCAAACATGGAAACAATTTTGGATATGCATTCATCTTGCTTATAGTTCATCCATGGTAAAAGAAATCTCTTCGAAGAACATCTTGTGCAATCTTTTTTCTATTAATGCATCTATCTGAAGTTTTTTAATATTGTGAATCGAGAAGATTCTTTCTTATTTCCTCTTTTATATATATATATATATAAATATATATATATGTTCATAGATTCTTATATCTTTTTCTACGGCAGCAATTTCTAAATTATGGAACGAAAAGAATCTTATGCCAAATTTTTTCAAGGAAATGGTACCGTGTGCCAACTTTTAAACTACTATACAATCCCCCCCTTTTGGAATACTTGAAGAATTTTCGAACTGGAAGAATATTGTAAGTGCACGAAGAGTTCTTAAACGTGCTCAAAAATCTTTTGTGGAATGGGAATTTCCTTTTTAATTTGATCCGTTATAGAAAGTTTTCGTTGTATTTAATAGTATATATGCAATATGTCATTTAGCACAAAAAAAAATTGGATCGTGACGGTTGTTGGAGCCTTTAATTTTATGACCATGCGAGTAAATTTTTGCTAAGAGTCAAGTCCATGTTTGTTTGATCAAAATTCCTGCTATATATATAATATATATATAATCTTCCAATTCACCTTCCAGTTTAAGAAATAAGTTAAGGAATTTACATCATAACCTCCACTTTTATCCTCCCTAAACTCTTTGATCTTCATACTTTTTATATGGTGTTTATTTGAGAATAAAAATTGAACAAATTCGTGTAATCATCATCATCATGATGTAATCGATAATGTCACGAAATGGTAATGTGCGGAGCTTTAAAAGGAGTTATTAGTTGCTGCGTATGCTTAATAGAACAATGAGATTCAAAGTGATCCTTTGTTAGGAGTGTTTAAATGTATGTATCTGTTCGCTGCAAAGCGAAACGTGGAAATTTTCGAGAAAATTTCATGAAATATTGTCTGCGACAATTTATGGTAGCTAATAATAATAATACTTTGATACGAGTATGATATTTTTCTATCTTATTTAGTTTTAAATATTAGAGATTAATTAGTTTTTTAAAAGTGGAAACGTGGAGGTAAATCAGTTGAGCATCAGACTATCTAGTCACAGGATAAAGTGACGACCAATTGTGATGCCGTTTTTTTAATTTCGTTTTTTATAATAATCCGAAATGTCGAAACTTTTTTCTGCCTTAAAAAATTTTTGAGATGCATTATATTACTATATTGCTATTGTCATCATGTGCCACAAATTTTAAATATTGTCCTCATCCTTGTAAATGTGATGTTTTTTAAAATTAGTTTCCTGTCTTGTATTTCAGTAAAATCACAATAAAAAATTTCAGTAAAGAGTTGTCTTTTTTTAATGTTTGTTTTCGTGCTTAAAACGTAATTTGTATGCGATTAGATTGTTATAGTGTACAGTCGACCCCCCTATAAGATATAGATACGTTCCAATTTATTAGGAATCCGATTTCTTACAAGTCGTTCCAATCACAGCCCGACACGTGTCAAGTTTACGGACTACGGCTGATTGAAAGGTTTTCTTCCATAAAATTAATCGATTCTACACTAATCCGACTCAACATTTCCAAAATACGTATATTTTTTCGTAGTTTTATAGGAATCGTAATTATAGGGGGGTCGACTGTATAAGACAACGCAACACGTGGGCGATCTGCCAAGTACTGTACTTCTTGGATGGACTTTCAATGGGAAATAGACGCGAAGAAAATCCGGAAAACTCCAAGTGGCGAGTCCATCGATGGGGCTCGAACCCACGACCAGTGTTCGGTGGTTTGGGCCACTGGTGGCAATTACGTTTTCTACATTTCAGAAATAACTACTAGTATACCCGAAAAGCACGCTTCAATATTTTTACTTTTCCGGCTGTTATATATATCGGGGAAAATATGGCAATGGGTCAAAAAATGATCCCCCAGAAAATATCTACATTTTTGGGCTCGGGACACCTTGAAATGTCGAGAAATGAAAAAAAAATTCAGGCTTTTTTCTGTATGTATGAATGTTAATGTGTGTGGGAGTACGATTTTCGACAAAAAGTACAGGAGTTAGTAAGTTCTATAACTCCTGAATTTTTGGCTAAAAATTCTGGAAGTTTGCAGGAAGGTTTGTGTATTAGAGGAGTGATGCTATTAAATTTTGGTGATTAAAGGCGAGAGATCGTGTGTATTTTCAGTAGGGTCAGACTTAATGACAATTTTTACTCGTTATTAGCATTTACAATTTTTTATAAAACCCACCTCCACCCTCAAAATCAAGCTTTTTGCCATTTTATAATAGTTAAAAATATGAAGTGTTTTTAATAAAAATATAACAACAAATGACGCCAACAAAGTTACTGGAAAACAAGATTAGGAGACCAATGTTTCTATTGAGCCACCATATTGGTTCCTTAGTTTCAAGACCATGGTATAGATTTAAATGATGTCTTGTTGCTCACTCCGCTCGGCAATTCGTGTGTATTACGTCATTCTTATAGACCCTCACACTAATTCGGTTTTAGTTTTGAAGCAGTTCGATGGTCTTTGAATTATAGCAATTTAAATAAACTATGTGGAAACTTTAGGCCCAGGTGACCTCGATTAACTATACTGTATACAGTACAAACTTCCAATTCAAACTGAAAGTCATGTTCTTTCAATTGAAATCCTTTCTTGCGAAAGCAGTTAATGCACAACTCTATTGTTAAAGGAAAAGTATGATGTACAGGGGCAAGCCACTACTAATTTGAGGTGAAGAGCATATATTTTAAATTAAATAAATTAAAAATTGAAACCCGGCATTGTGACGATGTCACAGCAAATAATTGCTCGTTTATATATACCAGCGTTTCTCAAAGTGGGCGATAACGCCCCCTTGTGGGCGCTGGAGGCTTTCAGGGGGGCAGTAGAAGGCTCAAAGAGAATTGGGGGGCATTAAGGAAATATAGAGGGGCGACGGCAGACAAATTCTATATATAAAAATTTGACGGAATATATATAAAATGTTGACATTTTATATATTTTTTATTGAAGGTCACAACTTGAATATTTCTAACACATTGACTTTTATTTTAGCTCAGCGTTTCTCAAAGTAAGCAATAACGCCCCCTTCTGGCGCGATGAATAGATCTATGATAGAGGCAGGGTATTGAACGGTGACCAAAGGCAAAATTGGGGCTGATAAGAGGAAACATTGCGTTTAATGGTTTCCAGATGATGAGAACAATGTACAGTAAGGGCACAAAGTGTGAGATTCATAGAAAAGTTTTCCTAAGAATATTTCCAATCCTTTTCTCACACAAGAGAAAATGGGTTAGGGGGCATTGGGTATAACTTTATGGAACAAAGGGGGCAGTGGATCGAAAAAGTTTGAGAATCACTGATATATACAGTCGACCCCCTGCAACACGGTAGATACGTTCCTGTTTTTATGAATCCAGCTTCTAGGAGTCCAGCCAATCACAGCCCGGCACGTATGCAGTTACAGACTACGGCTGTTTGAAAGGTTCCTTCCATAAAATTAATCGATTCTAGACTAATTCGACTCAACATTTCCAAAATACGTATAATTTTTTGGGAATAATCCATATAAACTATGCTATAAACAAAAAATTGTAGGATTACTTATTGAGTGTGTACCGTTCGACTACGCCATTGCTTAAGCTTGTTTTCGTCATGGAGATTGTAATCGAATGGCGCTCGCGTGGTGCTTCCTGATAAATTACTTTTTTTGCGAAAAATTCACTGAACTTTAGAGACATTAATATAAATATAATTTTTATGGACATTAAATAATAAATGGTTTTTGGTAGGTCCGCTGCTCATTTAAACTCAACGGTTTGTGCAATCCTGTCGTGACACGAGTCGGCGATGATGTTTTACTGAATTAAAGGAGTTTTTTAGCATGTTTGTACGAATACTGTCGCAACTTTTTCACCGTGATATAGGAACCCGTGTTATAGGGGAGGGGTCGACTGTAAATATCTCGGAAACTGTCAGAATAAAGGTTTTTCTTCATTTGTATTTTTACAATTTTTTTGTTTTTATTAAAATATTTTATAACAAACAAATATACAGTACTTTAAAAAATTATAATGTTATTTTTTGTTTATTATTGTTTTTAAGGGTCTGTATGTGATGCAATAATTAACGGAGTTTTAATGTTATCATTATTAATGACTATCAAAGAGAGCATACACTAAGAAAACCATAAAATATTTTATTGATCATGAATGAATTTTAATAGAAGTCGCAAAAAATTGTATGAGATACATCCCTTTTAAATTTCCCAAAATCTACGCAACTAAAATTCCTTAAATCTGGGGTAAATCTGTAGATTTTTAGTTCTGGTGACTCCAGACATGAATGTCGAGACCAGATATGGAAATCGTAAGAGAGAGAAAAGACCAAATTAACTATATGAGACCTTCCAATTTGAACCAAAGTCACATTATTCAAAATATGAATCATTTTCAAACATCGAAAAACAGTCAAATTTTTCTATAAATGTAAGAAGCAAAAGAACAAAAACTAATGAAATTAACAGTTCCATTAATCAGTTTGCCAAACAAAAGTCTACTAAGAATGTGGAAAAAGTCCAAAAGCAATTCTTCAATGACCCTTCCAACAACATTAAACAAGGGTATATCTTAAGGCTGTTATACACGTTACGGAAATCCTTTGAGGATTAACCGTGACTTTTTTTTATCTATCCACCTTTAAATAAAAATAATTCTTTATACGTTGGAAAATATTTTAATAAGTTTTGTAAATTACTATGTTCGATCCAGCCAGTTATATCCGATTTTTTTTCGTCTGTGTATAACAGCCTTTACTGAAGAAATCTTCCTCTATATATATCTCTTGGAACAAATATACAAATTACACCTATACCTGCTCATTTTCCTACATTAGTAGAACGTAATAAAGATAGGAAAATGGAAAAGAAACGATTGGAATGGTTGTTATCTGGAGTAAAAGAAACCTGCAAAAAGAAAGATTACAGAAAGAAGAATGCATCAACAGAAATTTCTATCACCACAACCTCATTTTCTATTGCAAAGTCTGTTCTATCTGTGATTTCTGTTACTAGCAGTTCCAGTGCACAGTACCTACAGTTACAATCATCTGAGTTGGTAACAGAAAGAACAATGGTAAATATCGGGTCTATTTTCAATTTGCTGTCATTAAGAAAGTATGGATATTTAGACGAACCATTATTAATACAAAAAAAACAATGAACGGTCACTATTCTGGAGAATTACTAGTGATCAGGCATGAAACACTTTACTGTTCAAACTGAAAAACACAATGCATAGAAAGTGTGTGATCAGCTTAAATTTACAAGTTTCAAATGTGAAAGGCTCTGGGGACTATATACAATGCATAAATGAAGGAATGAACGACTCATGACTCATTGATCTAGTTTTAACACAATGTATTTATCACTTTTCACTGAATACAAAAAAAATTTGAATGCGAAAGTATGTACTGTACTGTACTGTACTGTACATAAATAACAACATATTTGTGTGTCATTGATCTAGTTCCATGGTTCCCAATCAGTGGTATGCATACCCCAGGGGTACATGAAATTGCTTGAAGAGGTAGCGCGGCAATCTAAAATTGGTCGATTTAAAATTTAAATGCATGAGATGAAGCAATCAAAATAATAATGGGTGGACCATTAAAAATTTGGCAATTTACAACATGATGTCGAATACACAAATTTGTTTATTTATAACTAAAAACATCCTTGAAATTTCATCAAAAAATGCATTTGTGACAATACCTAAATGAAATTCTTACGCAAGAAACAAAAATTTTACAATTAACACAATTTGTACAATT